GCAGTACTTTGGAATTAGAAGTATTACTGACTGACGTCATCACCTTTAAATATTTCGTTCCTTCTCTTGGCTACTTTAAGAGAGTTCCTCGGTTGGAACGAACATGAAAACTAGTTTGTGATCAGGCCAAGGCGTTTTTAAAGGCATCTATCTCAGGCCTCAGGTTTTGTTTTGGATTTTTAACACGGGAAATTTACCTCGTGAATTAGTCCGGCAGGTCGACCTGAGAGATAAAAGCAGATATTTAATAGTTTTTAGGGTAGCACACACAATTACTAAGTGTTGATTCCTGCTTTTATCAAGCAATTTCTTTTGCTCTGATGAATTTCTGTAGAGGGCCAACACGCCCTTAGCGTAGATATCCTTTAGCAGGCTGTGTTCCAGCAGTGCCCTTCTTAGAACGACGTGACTGTTATCCAAAAATTTGTCCAAGCCTGACAAACGTGTAAAATGACTACACTTAGAGGAACATCAACACCTCAGTTGTCATGGATATACTGAGTACTTTTCATTTTGCTAAAATTTTCGGAAATTTTAATCGAGATATAAATGAAAGCTTCCATCCGAGTGGCAATTCTCCCCGGCCTGTCAAAGTTGTCCACCCTGAAGAGGCGGTCCTCTTATTAACTTTGACCTAAAATGTTGCATTTCTTGTTCTGGTCATAAGAGAGTTCCTCGATCGGAATAAGTATTATTAAACCTAGTACATTCTTGGACAAAAAGTGTTAAGAAATTTGCATTTTTTTTTCCCACAGAACGCCTATCCCACGGATTTGGTACCGCTTATGGCCCCTTCCTCGCCCAACCAGTGGTCAATGTTGTTCGGTCGGACTTCAACATCGTTTTTTGGGTGGGAAAGGGAAATATTTGCTGTCAGTGCCAGTGGTTTTAAGAGCTTTCATTGAAACTAGACATGACATTACGTCCATTTTGTTAAATTTTTGTCCAAGAAAGTAGTTCGTGAAGAGGTCGAGGGTGTTTTTAAAGGTAATAAAAAAGGGAAGATGATGTCAGAATCCTTGTTCTTGAATTTATTTGTTTGTTTGTTTGTTTGTTTTTTTTTGCGGTCGCCTGGACAATGAAAAACGACTGTTTTCGCGTGTGTCTCATTTTTCATTTTATTAACCGGTTTTTTGCCCTTTCAGGGAGTTCTATCTCCTTGTATTTTTCAGGAACATCTATGGTAGTCGTAGTCTTTAGTTATAATAAAGTTTTATTAAATATTAAACGATTATTTTTCTTTATTTATAATGTTACAATTAGGAGTTTTCTCATCTTTACACCAGTTTACCAGTTGGACACTTTACGTTCAATAACATTCATTGTCAGTTTTGTTGTCTCTGAAATGATCAATCAATTAGTTCAAATGCATGAGAGTCTTATTTTAAAACTTAGAATTGAATGATTGTCATTAGGGGGTTATGTGTTTTTGCAATATCGATTTATTGTATCAAATAAAATAAACGTCAAAATGGGTCAAATAGTTGTTATTCAATATGCAATACTACCCAATTTAATTGTTTTAGATTCGTGTAGTTCATCATGTTTTCCATTATTGCTACATTCTGTTTGTTATACAATCCTCTCAGTATTAAGCCCCCCCTCTCTAATACCGGTTTCGGTTTCGCTGTAATAACAGATAAAGTTGATTTGGGAAATCTGATGTTGTTACAGCTATCGAGCTATCGCCGCTTGGGTAGAAATTTCTCGGTATGTGATAAAGTGGTTTCCAGTGGGCTGGTACACATATCTGATGTAGTGCTACGCCGTTCAACATTCTTCTCGCCATGGTAGTGATTGATGGCAGCGATGTACGTCTGACCGCAAGTGACAAATGAGTACAACGCATAGCCTCCACGGGTAGGAATGGATTAAAACAGCAAGTTCCACGACATTATGGTTGTATTTAGTCATCGCAGATGAAGTGATTAGTTTTTCCTATAAATACTTGTGAATGAGTATTCCAGAATCATTGCAACAGGATAAACAGGATAAACTGGAAAATCATAATGGGAACATTATAAGACATGCCATTGTGCTCAGTAAAGCTAACAAAAGCGCGTACGTCAGTTTTAACCTCGTGCAGTATTTGGAATTTGGAGTATTATACTGACGTCATCACAGAAAAAATATTTCGTTTCTTGTGTTGTCTATAAGAGAGTTCCTCGGTTGGAACAATCATGAAATGTAGTTTGTGAACAGGCCAAGGTGTTTTTAAAGGTATCTATCAAAAGGTAAAGAAAAAGGGAAAACGAGTTAAAATCGCTTGTTTTCAAAAAAAAAAAATAAGGTAGAGGTCTTCTGCACAATAAAAAACTAGGTAATATGTTTTCGAGTATCTCATATTTCTAATGAGTGATTATAATCGATTTTAGTTTTTTTTGCACTTTCTTCTGTAAATTCTGTCTCCTCGAGCTTTTCAGTAACAACCTGATTGCAGTGGTAGGCTTACAAAGGTCTATTAAATGTTAGAGAAATATTTGAGTTTTTATATCAATTTGCTATAAGAGTTTTGTTATCTTTACCCAAGTTTACCATGCAGTTTGACACTTAACAATCAATTGTATTGTCGTTTTGTGGTCTCAAATGATCAATCGACTAGTTCAGATGCATGAGACTGTTATTTGTAAAAGTTAGATTTGTATGATTCTCATTGAGAGTATGTGTTTTTGAAAACAGTATCTTTTTAATATGATATCAAATAAACGTACCGTAAAGTGGTTCAAACGGTTGTTATTCAATACTTCTTAATTGTTTTAAAATCGTCATGGTGTTTAATATCATGTTTTCCGTTGCTACATTCTGTTGGTTATAACTAAGTAAAATCCGAGACATACATTTAAGAGAAGCAAAAAAGATAACGTGCACTAGCAAGAAAAGGAAAGAACCCAAAAATCGAAATTCAGGAAATTAATGAACAACAACAAAACACTGAAAGCAAAAAAAAAATCGATGGCAAAATTTTACTTCATTTTCTAACACAGTGAAAGACCTGCAAGATGACCTCTAGAGGGAACAATGTAGTTAATGATAAAAACACAAAAGTTAATTCAAAAGCCCCAAAATTTAACCGTCAACCGTCAAACCTATCTCCTGCATGTTGAGATCCCCGAGCACACCTAGGGAGCAGTATACAAGATCAAATGCTGTGACGGCCAGGTCATCATATATTGGTGAGACCGGCAGAAACGGGATACCTTTTAATGAGGCCCTAGTTTGTTGGCACAACGGTTTTGATGCTGTCGACAAGCACTCCTGGTACAGACGAAATATATAACAGTCTATTTCTTTACAATGTCATCAAGGCTGGCTAGTCTCTAACGCAGTCGTTCTTTGCGTCAGAGCTGCGTAATAGGGTCAGAGCAAAGGAGGATTATGCACTCTTCCCGTGATTCCATGCGGCAATTTTTCTCGTGTTACGTTGCCATTTTAGATGCATCGTGAGCGCCGGAGATGATTTTTTGACCTTAAAAAGAGCTTGTTTGACGGTTTGAGGTGAGCTCGTTTTGTTTCATTCCTTTTGATTGGCACTGAATTGATATACTGAGCGAATTTTCCAAGCTATTTATGTATAATTAAATGCCTTATCAGTTTACGACAGAGAGAGCTGTCCAGATTGTCACGGTCGGGTACTTCAAGAAATGTGATACTTTCCAACTTCAATATTCGAGGTTCTGTGAAGCCATAATAAGTTTTGAAGAGAGGAAGGGATATAATTTCAAGGAATTACAATTTACCTCGTTGTACCTAAAATAAAAAATCGACAGTGAAATGGAAATTGACCATTGCTGTTTTTTACCCATTGGCAGACGATCGCGCGACTTCTCGAAGTTGTCACCTTGTAACCTCGAAGCTGTCACCTTATATATGCAAGATACTTCGGAGCAGACCCACCTGCGCGGTAAACTAACAGTAAAAATATTCATAAAAATTAGGCAGTTCTCTCTATATATAACTTAGACTAAGAGTAGTCCCCCATTTTTCCTCAGGGATAGTAGAGCAAGCGAAACGCGAGCGCGCGTGAAAATCTCCCCACGTGAGAAAAGGCTACACGCGGCGGGGAGGAATTTTTGGATGGGGATGTGCCGCTCGTGAGTATGATTTGGTATATCTAGGGTTATTAACATTATTATGGAATCAAGCTAGATTGTTAATATATATAGTGTCGATACGAATTATAGCGTATAGGTATGTGTAATCAAATGGTGACGAGTGAAATTAGGGAATAATTTCACGCGCGTTTTGTCACGAGTATACCATTTGATTACCTATTAATATCATGCCGTGACGAATTACTTAAGCAATCGTGAATTTTTGACAAATTTATGGTGGATCGTATCGATCGAGAACTCCACTCTCTCAAATTCCACTCTCTCTCAAGAATTTTCATGATTTTTCGACAAAACACATGTTAGAATCCTTCTTGATATGCTCCTTGGTGTGTTCAGGTTTTCTAAAGCGTCTTTTTGTGCCCTGAGATCTTCATTCATGGCATTTTAAAACTTCGTCGCCACCTTGACAATGAAACGTACGGAAGGATCCAGAGTAGCGTAATGAAGTCACTAAGTAAATGTTTCCAAAGTCATCTTATCGCTTTAGATCCACTTGAACAACTTGCTATTTATTGTGTGTTTGTTCTCAATTTCGCTATAATAACTAACAATAACAACATAAAATTGATTTTTAAACTCAAATGCTGTTACGGCTAAAGCCGCTTCGGTGGGAATCTCTCGACGTTTGATTAAATGCCCGCCAGTGAACTGGTACACATCTGATGTAGTACTATACCGCTGAACATTTTCGTCGTAGAAATTGACAGCAGCAACGAACATTTGGCCACACACAACAAATGGATACAACGCAGAGGCTCCACGCGTTGGAATTGATTGAAACAGCACAAACTTGCTTCCATTCCACTTGTATATGAAGGATTCGAGGTTATAAGTATTGCCGTTGTGATGATTAGCGAAAGCAAGGAAGATATCTCCATTGCTCTTGAAAAATTCCACATGCCATGCTCCAAACGACTCCAGTGACTGGAATTTGGCAAAGTACCGACCAGACCATTTATAAACGGTAGAATTTACGGAGTGCCCATGCTTAGCATTAACGAAGTTCCCAAAAACAAAGAATGTTTCGTTGTGTATTTCAAGTGCTGCACCTGATAATGCCCCCTCAGTCTCTATCTCCTGGTATTTTTCAAACTTGTTAATGTTCCACTTGTACACAATTGAGCTGATAGAGTGTGAAGTGTCGTTATAAAAGTTCGAAACAGCGAGAAACGATTCTTCCATTATCTTAAAAAACGTAAATGATGCTGCCCCGTTTGTTGCAATACTTTGGAAAGGGACAAACTGGTTTCCATTCCACTGCAAAATACGAGAATCCAAGCGGTAGGTGATACCATTATTGTGGCTAGCAATGGCTAAATAATGTTTATTACCAATATTGAAATACTCAACGTCAAAGGCTCCAACAATGTCTATGGTTTGGTAAAGAACAAACTGATCCGTTGAAGGGTTCATTTTGTAGATAAAAGAGCTTGTTCTCCATCGTTCAACGTCATCGAAATAGTTCGCGAAGGCAAGAAACAGACTTCCATTGATACTAAAATGTTGAACATCATGAGCCCCTTTAGTCGGCAAACCTTGGTATTGTTGAAAGTGGCGCAGATTGATGGCACAATCTTGATTAAAAGTGGAAACATAAAAAAACCGGTTACGACATATTCCAAACCAAAGTTTATAAGGACGACGTTTAAATAAAGCAATATAGTTGAAAAACGCAAGCCATGACTTCATACAGGATATATGACAATTTGTAAGCACAAATTAAGACTATCATATATTTAGGCTGATAGAGATGATTTTGTTCAGTCACTGACATTAGCGGCTCGGAAGAAAAAATCCGAGTACTGCCAATAGCAAGCAAACCTTCGTTTGTTCAAACCTTTCGTTTTTCCAAACCATCTCCGTTAGGTTGGCTAGTCCAGATGCTCTTTCACTAAGCTACAGAAGACTCTGAGCTAAGCCACTAAACTAGGTTTATGCGACAAACATTCTGCATACTGCTCGACTAGAACGTCGATATGTGCTTATGTGCAATGATAGAAGGAAAGTAGTATAGTAGGGATGTATTACTCCCTTATTTGGGCAGAAATCTCATGAACTTACTTAGGAATACAGTAACGCCGATGACGTCACAGCCTTTTGTATTTACATCATGAACAAAATGCGGTTAATTGATTCTCATGATCTTCCTTTTTTGTATTTCTCATACTAAAGAAACAGTATAGAGACAATTTTTTTATACGATGTATTTTGTCGGTCTGGGTGTAAGTTAATGATAGGAATATTGAGTCTCTTACCCTGAACAATGGATGATGTGCGTTGCTTCAACAAAAAGTTGAGAAAAAAAAAGACACGCAATTATATTACCTGCACATATACGCCCATCTCCGGTAAACCCTGGGTTACATATGCATTCAAAGTATCCAGCGGTATTAAAACATGTTGCATTCTCGTGGCAGTCATGACTTCCGTTGCTGCATTCATCAAAATCTGAGTCAAAATGATAAAACATATTATTAAAGACAGACTGAGATTTACTTACTGAAAAACTATGTCGTAAATCTTCATAAGCCAACGAGTTCTGCGAATCAATGGAAAGAACGATTTCTTTCAAAAGTAATAAACGTGATAGGTCTAATCAAAATCGCGAACGATGATTTTACACGCGTGAGAATGTATGTAATGTGAGTATGTATATAATAAACACGTGCACAATACCACATGGAAAGTGCTTTTTACGGTATTTACGCACATACGCTCACTCGTTTGATTTTTGACCACGTAAATTCCGTAGGCGCGCACTTTCCATGAAGTATTCTTTCCACCTCGTGAAACTTTTGTTCCTATCCTAATTTACGAAATGAGCTCATCGTAAATTTTGGTTAATAGTGCTGCAAATAATACGGTTTTAACCTGGTTATTTGTGATCGATGCTTACAAGAATCATTATACCTGTGCGTGATCGTCCATTTCCCACAAGTCCCGGATTACAGGTACAAATAAAGGAGCCAGAAGTGTTTGTACAGTTTGCATCCCTGTCGCAGTTATGGCTGCCGTCCTCGCATTCGTTGATGTCTAACCACGAAACAACAACGTTACGAAAAACAAAAAGATGATGTTGGTGATAATAATAGACTACGTGCATGCATAAAATGTGCTAATATACAGTAAAGAGAGTAAGGCAGTATAAAGACTATTAATCAAGGGCGAAGTATCGCTTCAAAGTACGTTTAACGCCAATCCTGGGTTCACTTCAAACTTAATAATGACGACCGACGGATTTAGCTAAGACTAAGGTTCGCTCTTTGGACTTTTCACTCCGTGCACAACCTTAATAGCGATGTTATAATTATTTTTAGCTAACTGACCAATAGATATGTCTCTGTAATTTATTTAGTACAATGTGTGAACAGAAAAGAATAGATTCTGTACACTATCAGTAAGCTTCTGATATATTCCTCAGCACCACATTGTTTACTTCCCTGATTTGTGCCTGCGTTTTTTTTATGATAAACAGTCTCCTCTACTATTCTACTATTACGTTGCAAACAAGGCATCATTATGAGAAATTGTGAATTGTCATGCATGGCGAACTCGCTTCAAGGGGACGAGTAAGAGAGAGCCTCGGGAACGAGATTGTTTTTATGACAACCTCGTTTCCAGGGTGCAGTAGTAGGAGAGAACCTCGGTAGCAAAGCTGTTGTCATGGTAGCTAACCCTGGATAGGAGGATTGGAGCTGATCTTTGTTAGAACAAGTTCACTCCAGCTTAGGAACCTATGGAATCCAAGTGCAAAACTTAAATGGCGAATCTTCTGACCACTAGTCAACTATTAGTGGGGATCCGGAGTGATAGAGACCGTCTAGGCTTCACACCAATCAAACACCTGTTTAACGAAGACATTAAGAGACGGATCCAACATTCGTAAATGCGCTATGCCTACAAAACCTCTCCTCGCAGAGTAAAATTAAAAACAGAGTATATAATATTCATTTCCAATCATCGCTAAATTGAAAGCAATAGCACAATACGAGAGACATGCAGTTTAGGGATAACTGAATATTATCCCATTAAATTTCCAGTCGGGGTCTTGGCTCCTTAAGATAGGGGAACCGTTACCTTTAAATGTGTGTTTCTTATGGGGATATGCATATCACAGCCGCGATTGGGGATCCTGTTCACGTTTAAACGAGTACGTTAGTCCTATCATTCTTACCTATATTGCAGTTTTCACCAGTATAACCAATACCCTCTGGACACAAGCAGAGATATTTCTTATCAGTGAATCCGTTCAGGCACTTCCCGTTGTTAAAACACGGGTTACTGGAGCATATATTCTATATAATGAAAAGATAAATTCTTTAAAATTAAAGCGGCCAAAATGTTAAAACAAAAAATATTGAAGTTTTGAATATGAAAATCATATAATTATGCAAACTGCGGGGTGAAGAATTATATAAAAGAAGATCATCGCAATTATAGACGCAAGTTTTGCAGTTGCGAAAAGGCAGCCTGAAAAAATTTTCGTATAACTCTTCACCCCGCAGTTCACGTATATGATTTTCAAATATTCAAAACTTCATCATCATCCTTTCACGGGTCTATAACGAACCAATTCAACGACCTGCTCCCAGTTGGCTTCTATGCTCAATTGGTAGAGCGCTGCACCGGTATCGCAGAAGTCAAGGATTCGAACCCTGTTCAAGCCTAATTTTTTACAGGCTTTCTTTTCGCGACTGCAAAAGTTGCGTCTATAACTGCGATGATCTTCTTTCTTACAAAAAATATTGTAATAGGCCATTTCCGAGTTCCCCCGGGCCTCTGTATCTAGACTAGGTAAAGTGCTCAGCCTTTGACATGGAATTGACTTTTCATTCTCATGTATATAAAACTCATTTTCACAAGAAATGTTGAGCACTTGGCCTCATTTTGAAAGTGAGGGTTTTAGGAACACGGAAATTTTGACTTATAAGATTCAGGAAATTCAAGGTCTTTAAGTATGAACCGCGTTTGTTGATAACTTGAAACAGTTGTTTATGCAACGAAAGCGTCAACTGCATCCAGGTGAGTTATAAATTTGTTGACGGAAGAATTGAGCTAAACACTGATTTAACAAAATCAACAAACAAACAAACGCGCATAACAGGCTACAAAATTGGTGTTAAAAGAGGGATTCTCGGCGTCATGCCTTTCTTGTTAATTAAATGCCCTTTACATCTTAGTTTATAGCCCAGCCGCTTGCATCGGAAATACATGTAGCTACCTAGAAATGACAAAAAAGATGTATTGCAATATCCAATATCTTTTATTTCTTACCTCCGTTCCCCTATAGGTCCAGCCTGGTGTCACCTTAAGATCACCTGGATTCTGTAGGGCGTCAGCATCATTCAATTCACACACCACTGTGTCATTTAAAACAGGACTAATGTTGATTGACACGCAGTCCCTCTCCATGGCACAAAAATGATGACATGACCCGTGAATACCGATAGAATGATTCCAAATCACATGACCTTCAAGTCGACGGTTTTCGGCAGGTGAAATAAACTTTAAGTGGCGACATCCAGCTACCATAATTAACAAAACACAGCAAATTGGTTTTAATTTACATCAACAACTTGAAATTTCCAGAGAAATATTCCTTTAAGACATTTTGGTGCCTCTCGGCAACTACTTGAAATGTTTTAGGGTAAAGTAACCTATTTTCGGGTTCTCCTTGCCGGGACAGGTAAAAATTAAAAGCGCCGAGCCCGAGTACCTGAGAACAGCCGCTATGTTTTAAAAAGAGAGCGCTTTTTAAAACCTGCAGCAGTGTGAAATACAATTTTAAATATACCGTTTTATTTTTTAACAGAGAAATATCGTAATTGTAACTGAGTAATTTTTTTTAAATTTTTAAAGGGTTATTCAGTCTTAAGAGATTTTATAAAAACCAAAATCTGTATATTGGAGGCTTAAAAAACACAGGTGGAACCCCGTGTACTACGTTAGGTCAGTGAATAGACCGGAAAATAAACATAACAAAATTCTTTATGTTGAATGTATTAGATCACTGAAGTCACCTTGATTTGCTGCTGAGATGCAATATACACTAGGGCCCCAAAGAGTACAAACCAACAGCAAAACTACTTCTAAGTTCCAAGTCACCATTATAGCAACACCCAGTGTGAGTTCGCGAGAGACCAGTTTACTGAAAGCCAACGTCAACTTACTGATACATTTGCAAAACCTAACTTATTCTTAAACACAGATTGCTTTTAGGATATAAATTATTCATAAAAAGGATTGATTAGTAAAATTCGTGACTTGGACAACATTTTTATTAGTGATTTGAGTGAGACAGCATGCTTGGCTCATACATTTTCAGAGCTAGGATTAAAAGGCACTGTACCGGGTATGAAAGTAAAAAAAGATTATGACGCCGGCAATGTACATCTTGAGAATTCGGAAGATGTACATACAGTATGAATCTCTTTAGGCTTTGTAAAAGACAATAGCAGCCATGCGTAAACGCAGCTTAAGCAGACTGGTCAAAACAGAGACTGACGCCCCGTCCACACGTATCCGGAGATTTTTGTATCCGCAAATTTTTTTATGCGGATACACCTAGCGTCCACAAGTGTCTGCCGTATACGCTCGGTGTATCCAGAGATTTCTGTATACGCTCTCCAGAGTGGAAATTTCTGTATACGCTGTGTATCCGGATACGTGTGGACGCTCGTATCCGTATATTTTTGTATACGCTGACGTCACAGTATCAGAACCAGTCTTAATGCGCATGCTCTGTTGACTAATCCTTTGAGATGTCCGAATACGAATCGGATACGTGTGGACGGTCGTATACGATTCGTATACGCTACGTGTGGACGCAGATATTTTTGTATCCGCATAAAAAAATTTGCGGATACAAAAATCTCCGGATACGTGTGGACGGGGCCTGAAATAAGGAAGAATAAAAAGAAGAAGAAGAATAAAACAGGTTTGAACCTATACCTAAGCGAAATAGGTAGAGTACCCTCTCTACAGATCAAATCGAGCCAAAGAGAGCTGTCAATTACTTTGCGCGAGTTCGCAATGATACCCAATTTTTAGAAAGTAATATATAAAACCTCCCCTTTATGTTTTTGCCTGGTAATAAGAATATGACTATTTACAATTTGGCTGCAATCCTTTCCCCCACCCCTCCCTTGTGCGCTTGTTTATTGGGCAATAACAAACAGACAAGGACAGGATTGATAATTATGGAGTAAATTGTATGGCCCAAAGCCGATTTAATAAATAATTAATGTCTTATGAATCATTTCAATAGAATTTAGATCAGAAATTTTTCTAAGCCCAGTAGGAAATGTAAGGGCAGAGAAACGCCATGATAACTACTACGCAAGGAACAATTTAGCCTGTTACCGATATCAGGGTCGTGGCGAAAAAAAAAAAAAAGACAAACCACGCGACAATGAGACACGTGTGTCGCGCTTGTGCAACGTGTCGTAGTTCTTACGGTCTGCTTGACAGATCGCTACGGATACTTAGGTCTATGCTAGGATTTTTCATTCTGCAAACGTTGTGCATTACCCTGCAGGTTCCAGAGATGTTTTCTTGAACGGAGAACAAATTAAAGAAAAACCTCTGGGATTGTAGTTGTGCATCAGATCGTGGTTTCAAACAGCTGCATGGGGAATGACGACTTTTCTCTGTAAAAAACTGCTCGAGGGAGCAAATTTTGCCTAGAAATTTCTTAAGTTCGAGAAAAGTTAAAATTTCTGGATAACGCGGGTCCATTCGTTTGAGATATTCAGAGTTGTTCGATGATTTACGTCAAATTTTTTATGCGCACATTTTACATCAACCGTGCAAGATATTGCAGTTATTTTTACTAAGACATCAAGTGCCTTAGAAATTTCTTATGAAAGTACGTATACTCCATGTCCTCGAACTTTTAACCTCGCACCCATCAGGACAGCTATAACAGTTTTGAATGAGACGAAAAAGTGACTACCAAAGGTCTCCTAAGACACAAAAACAGATATTAAATGGTTTTTAGGGCAGCTCCAAATAAACTAAACAGGCTTCTTAAACGAAAAGAAAACCAATTGAGACACTTCTGACGAATTTGAAAACATTTGGTCGTTGGGTGTCCATGAAATAGATGATAGGCTGTGTCACAAGTTACTGTGTACTTATTTATAATTCAGGCGACTCTTTATAAACGCTGGGTTATAAATGATTACAATTAGTGCAACATCAAGAACTCAGTTGTTATGCATATACCGAGTGCTTTTCATTACGTCTAAAAAAATTTCGGTCGAGAAATAAGTGGAACGCCGCTTCCGTCCGCGTGGAAATTTGTGGTCCACCTCCAGAGGTGGCTCTCTTTCGAACGAAACTTGTCGTTCCATTTCCAAAAATTCTCCTTTCTAGTCCTGCTTTTTAATATGCTAAGCAGTAATCACAGTTTCGATCGAAACGCAAATGGATCGCGTCGATTCGACTGAAAATTTTGATTTAATCGAACAATGTCGTTCTATTTTCTCTTGAGCATTCCTCTGGTTGCTGACTTTTTTTTTTTCAAAATGGAAAGCACCCACCGTGAGTCCCGGGGGGGTACTGCCATAAATGGGCTATATAGGTATCTGCCGCTGTGAAGGGTATGGTTTTCAAGCCGTTAACTCTAGGATAGGGTATATAAATCAGAGCGTTTGGGTCTAGAATAGGGTATCATTTTTCGGGAAACTGATCAGTTGGTTGAAGATTTTATCAAGACTGGGGAAACAGCTACCCCAGGATAGGAGGTATTTGGGGAGTTTACTCTAGTATAGGGTAGCCAAATTCAGCTGAACTAGCTCTGGTATAGGATAAGGGTTCCAAGGTCCCAGCGGCACGTCCCCACCCAGAAATTCCTAAAGTACGCCCCCGGGCCGTGAGTATGATTTGATTCTTGGGTTATTTAGAATATTATGGAGTCAAGCTAGATTGTTAGCATATAGTGTCGATAAAGAATTACAGTCAATTTATTTAGAATGTAGTCAAAGCTAGCCTCCAACAATCAACGCCCTCGTTCCGCCGTTACTGAGGTCGGAGCAGCGTGATGAGATCACTTAAGGGAAATGTTTCGGAAGTCGTTATCTTATCAGTTTAGATCCACTTGAACAACTTGCTGTTTATTCTGTATTTGTTGTCAATCTCGCTATAATAACTTACAATAGCAATATAAACTTGATTTTTGAACTCGAATGCTGTTACAGCAGTGGCCGCTAGGGTGGGAATCTCTCGATATTTGATAAAGTGCCCCCCAGTGAACTGGTACACATCTGATGTAGTGCTATACCGCTCAACAGTCTTCTGTTGATCGTAGTAATTGACAACAGTAACGAACATTTGACCACACACAACAAATGGATACAACGCAGAGGCTCCACGGGTAGGAATGGATTGAAACAGTACAAACTTGCTTCCATTCCACTTGTATATGAAGGATTCGAGGTTATAAGTAGTGCCGTTGTGATGATTAGCGAAAGCAAGGAAGGTATCTCCATTGCTCTCGAAAAATTCCACATGCCATGCTCCAAACGACTCCAGTGACTGGAATTTAGTGAAGTACCTACCAGACCATTTATAGACGGTAGAGTTGACGAATTGACCGTTCTTAGAGTTGGCGTAATTCCCAAAAACAAAGAATGTTTCGTTGTTAATTTCAAATGCTTCACCCGATAAAGCCCCCTCGGTCTGTATCTCCTGATGTTTTACAAACTTGTTAGTGTTCCACTTGTAAACAGTTGAGCTGATAAAGTGTGAAGTATCGTTATAAAAATTCGAAACAGCGAGAAACGATTCTTCCATTATCTTAAAAGACGTAAATGATCCTGCCCCGTTTGTTGCAATACTTTGGAAAGGGACAAACTGGTCTCCATTCCACTGGAAAATACCAGAATCCAAGCGGTAGGTGATACCATCATGGTGGCTAGCAATAGCTAAATAATGTGTATTACTAATATTGAAATACTCGATGTCATAGGGCCCAACACTGTTTATGGTTTGGTAAAGAACGAACTGTTCCGTCGAAGGATTCATTTTGTAGATAAAAGAATTTGTGCGCCATTGTTCAACGTCGTCAAAATGGTTCGCAAAGGCAAGAAACAGACTTCCGTTGATGGTGAAGTTTTCAACATCGCGACCCCCTTTGGTCAGCAAATCTTGATATTGTTCAAAGTGGCGCAGATTGATGCCACAACCTTGATAAAAATGCAAACACACACAAGAAAAGTGGTAACTCAGCCTACAATTATTTCAAAAAAGGTTAAAGAAGTCGTTTAACTGTAGCGGGAGAGACCACTAAAAAAAGAGGGGGCAGGGGAGAGGGGGCACGGTAGAGGGGGAGATGGAAGGAGAAGGGGAGGGAGAAGGAGAGAGAGAGAGAGAGAGTTGGGACTGAGCCGGCAAAGAGTTGATGCATTGTACATGTACGGCGTAAAGAGGTTCAAACTTTGTATATGGCGGCAATTTATAAGCACAAATTTAGGCTATTATATTTAGGTTCTTAAATACGCTATTATTCTCTGAAGATGAGAAAAAAAAAACTTAATAAGTACATTCTAAAAGACTAAATGGGATTTAGTATCCTTCTTCGAACAAAACAAAACTGACAGTAACAAACAAAGAAGAACCAAGAACAACAGCAACATAAAAATGAGAAAAAAGGCAATTTTACCTGCACAGATACGCCCATTTCCAGTAAACCCTGGGTTACATATGCATTCAAAGTATCCAGCGGTATTAATACATGTTGCATTCTCATGGCAGTTACGACTTCTGTTACTGCATTCATCATAATCTGCGCCAAAAATAATACAGCATTACCTGACACAGTTACGGGCTGAGTTCTAAGGCACTGATCACGGCCCATCTAAAACCTTTCTTTTACAAAAATCATAGCATCTTAATGTCGTATGTTAATTGTTCACATTAATATTCGTACAATATTTACATTTGCCAATTTAACGTTTTCCATACCGCCCGCACACTAGCCAGCGTCGACAAGTCATACTTAGAGATACATTTTGGTTGCCAGTGTTCTTGGTGGAATCGCCTGTGATACAATGGACCAGATGGATGGTTAAATTCAGTATAAAAAGTTTCCACTTGAGAGCATTTAAGTACGCTTTCAAAAAACCTTGCACAACAAAAGCATGTCGTCGTTTGTCCTCTTGCTTTCTTTAACCTCGCTTTTCAAAAATATATTAAAAATAAAAATAGAGCAAAAGCCCAGTATTAGGTCGCCTTCGTTTCGACGCAGAAAATACAACTAAAATACAGTTTAGATCGCATTTCAATAGTGCACGCACACTCCCTTAAGCCGGAGGAAAAGGCCGAATCTCTTTCTGCCTCGTGAAACTTTTCATTTAAGGAAATGTGCTCATCGTAAATTTAATTTTGGTAGATACCTTCAAGTAATAATGTTTTAATTTGGTTATTTGCGATTGATACTCATAAGCTAGCTAGCTCTGAGGGTTTATACCTGTGCATGACTGTCCGTTTCCCTGAAATCCCGGATTACACGTACAGATGAAGGAGCCAACGGTGTTTGTACAGTTTGCATTCTTATCACAGTTATGACTGCCGTCCTCGCATTCGTTGATGTCTAAATGCGAAACAACAACATGCATGCACAAAAAAAACAGGCTAATACAACAAGACTTAGATTACAGTGATAGAGTGATTTACTATTAATCAACGGCAAAGTGTACTTCGAAGCACTCCAATCCTGGGTTTAGTGCAGCCTTACGTTATGAAGTCCGGCATTTAAGCTATTTAATGCATGACGTTCATGCTAAGACAGCTCCTAAATGTCTTCTCGATAAGTTTGCGAAAATCAATACAAAACATCGTTGTAATACGCGATTATCTGCAAAAGAATGTTTCTCTGTCAAATTCTCTAGAACTAAAAAAATGAAAAAATCTTTTACTAATTAATTGCTGTGTCTAATTGGAATTCGATTCCAGTCAACATATCTAATTTTCGTAAAAAAATTAAATCACTACTCCTTAATGTTCTAGGTAATGAAGATAATTATTTGAATGTTAATTATTTAATAGAATATTTTATGAAGTTAACCTGATATGTCGTATGTACCTCCAGTTGTAATTTAGTCTTTTTCAAATAACAAAATCCCCTGTCCTTGAATTTATATGTAAGGTGTTTCTTTTTGTATGTTATTGTATTTCTTTTCTTTTCAGTCTTTTTTCTTATTTAAAGTCTTGTCCTGCCTAGATTAGCATTATAGCTATTTGCAGGACATAAAGTATTGTAACTTTAATTATATTTCTTTAAATAAATACATTGTTGTTGTTGTTGTTTATTTATCTAAAATGAAGATTCGCTTTTTGGACTTCACGCCGTGGACAACCTCAAATAAAGTATTTTAAAATATTGCCATATTTTAGTTTGATTTAATTACAATGTATTAACGGTTAGAAAAGATTCAAAGCTCTGTCAATTGATGCGCCCACTGGCAACATATACAGCAGCACCATATTGTTTACTGATTTGTTCCTGCTCTTTGTTATTAACCAACCTCCTCTACAAACTCATGTTTCAAACAAAAGTCATTATGAGTTGTCCTGGCGACGTCGTTACCAGGGACGAGTGGGAGAGAACCTTGGAAACGAGGTTGTTGTCGTGGTACCAGTAGAACGAATCGTCGTTGGAACAACTCGCTCCAGGAACCCATAGGATCCATGGTGAGTGCAGAAGTCAGATAGCCAGTCGTCTGACCAATGGCCGGTAAAAGCAGTTTCATTAATTGTAATTAAGATTTCATGTGGCGCTAAAATAACTAATGTCATATAAACAGTATTTACCGTATTTATTCGATTAAGCGCCCAACCTCGAATTAGCGCCCACCTCGAGTAAGCACCCATCCCAAAGGCAGAAAAAGTTAATGAGCGCCCAGCCTCGAATAAGCGCCCACCCCACCCCACTCCCTCCCACAAAACTCCAATAAGAGATAATAAGAGACCCTCCCTAAGACGGAGTTTCCTTCAGAGTACTTTACAGAAACCTTGCTTTGTTACACCTTCGCTTTTTGTAATTAGCATTTACTGTATTGTTGCAAAATATACTACTACACTTGCTGAGAATGGTGAAAATTTAATAAGCGCCCACCTCGAATAAGCGCCCACTCTCAAGGTCAAAAAATTTAATAAGCGCCCAGGGCGGTTAATCGAATAAATACGGTAACCCAGTTGGGATCAAAGTATTGGGTATCCTCATCGCGCATAAAAACGTCTGTTAGTCCGTTCATTCTTACCGTTATTGCATTTTTCACCAGTATAACCAATACCCTCTGGACACAAGCAGAGATATTTCTTATCAGTGAATCCATTCAGGCATTCCCCGTTGTTAAAGCACGGGTTACTGGAGCACATATTCTAATGAAAAGAGAAATCCTTGGAATTTAATAAAACAAAAACAAGTTAAAAAATGTACATGTTGTAAGGGACTCTTAGATTTAAAGTCAAGGGCGTTTGCTGTTACCAAATTCAGCCTGGTTAGCTAATTGGTTTGTTGTCAGACGGAAGAAGTTACGAAGTTACGAAAAACAAACAAATAAAGAGCGTTATACCCCGGGGGTGGGGGGGGGGGGCACTTTAGGAATTTCTGGGTGGGGATGTGCCGCTGGGAGCCTGGAACCCTTAACCTTTACCAGAGCCAGTTCAGCTGAATTTTGCCACCCTATACTAGAGTAAACTCCCTAAATCCCCCTATCCTACAGTGGCTGTGTACCTAGTCAGGAGCCGATTACCTAGTCTAGATAAAATCTTCAACCAAATGATCAGTTTCCTGAAAAATGATACCCTATTCTAGAGCCAAACGCTCTTATTCATATACCCTATCCTAGAGTAAACTGCTTGAAAACCATACCCTTCACAGCGGCACATACCTATATAGCCCATATATGGCAGTACCCCCCCCCCCCCACCCCCGGGCGTTATACAAGCAAAATACTAAGTAAATATCGGGCACAGAGACTTGTAAAGCGAGGAATTTTCTGTGTCGTGTCTCTCTTGTTTCCCCCTTTGCATTTTCGACCTGCTCCAATCTAATTAGGGCGCTAATTGCTAGCTTTTTGGATTAAGCCGTATGAATCAGACATGACTAGCTGATGAAAGTGTTCCTAACCTCTGTTCCCCTATAGGTCCAGCCTGGTGTCACCTTAAGATCACCTGGATTTTGTAGGGCGTCAGCATCATTCAATTCACACACCACTGTGTCATTTAAGACAGGACTAATGTTAACTGACACACAGTCCCTCTCCATGGCACAAAAATGATGACATGATCCGTGAATACCGGTAGAACGATTCAAAATAGCGTGATTCACGAGTCGGCGGTTATCCGCAGGTGAAATAAATTTTAATCGGCGGCACCCAGCTACGACGAGAACAAAAGAACATAAATTGGTGTTAATTCTCTTATTCTATAGATTTCAATCCCGTGAATTGAAGTCCTAAACATTGCAGAACCATTTTGGCGACTCTTGCCAACTACCAGAAATAATTCAGAGCAAGGACACATTTAAGAGTCTGAGTTGTCTTTTCCACGCTCTGCGTATGAGCTTTCCGAGAACGAAAATTGAACAGGATTACTGCAGCCGCGTCATTCACTAGAGTCAGCCAGTTTGGGAGTAGCCGACAGTCAACAGCAAATAAAAAAACAAACAGTTTTTTTTTTCTGAAGAAAATATTCTGCTGCGTCTCTATAAGAAGGGGTGATGAATGTTCCATTGAAATTTTTAACTGCTCGCAAAATTTTCGTGCTCTCTAAATTCTTGCGTTGCTCGCAAGCTCGCAAAGCAAATTTTTTATTTCTGCTCGTGCTCGCAAAAAAATTGCAGTGCTCGGCATGCTCGAGAATGCTCGCAAAGACCATTCGTCACCCCTATAAGAGTAATCAACACAATTATTTGTTTTTATCAAATGAGTTGAAAAAGAAATTTGTTCATCGTAAATAATAATAATAATAATTAGATTCGAAGTCTTCACAAACAGTTTATTTAATCAACGCACCATCAACTTCGAGTTGATGAAAAATCTTGTTTTGCAAGGCAACTAATACAAGCAAGAACTGTGATGGACATGGAATGTTTACGCGAATTGACTGCGTGATCATCATAACTTTTAAAATTTAGAATACCTTGGAATGATTTTCTTTTCTTTCCACTAGAGAAATATCGGGTTTAATTACCGAAAAATTTACCTCAACGCAAGTAATTTTGGCCGTTCCCTATAGGGAAAAGGGTCGTTGCCTGAGACCTGAGCCAAGCATAAATTGATGATAGCCTTAGGATGTGGTCAAGTGTGATAGTAAAAACTAGCTAGTGGACTCAGATTCACACGGCTCGGGATTAAAGAGCAAACGTTGAAATCGTGTACTTCAGGTCACATAAACTGCAAAATATGTCAGAATGTATTAATGTCACCTTCATTTGCAGTCGCTGAGATGCAATTTGGCCAAATACCCCAAAGAGTACAAACCAACATGAAAACTGGTTCTGAATTCCAAGTCGCCATCACAGCAAAAATGCCTGTTCTACGCGTGGGACTAAGTTTACTCAGTAGTTTACTCAAAGCGAACAACTAAAAGATTTACAAGTCATCTATTTTTCACAGCCACACTGAGAGGTCGCGTTTAGCAATTAATTATTCATAAAAATGGTATATCATAAAATTTGGAACAATTTGGGCAAAATATATTAAGTGATTTGACCAAATTAACTTTCTTAACTGGTAAGAAGCTTTAGGTACGATAGAAGAGCTGCTTTCTCCACCACATCAAGGCTTTTCGTCGACAAACTGACTCAATTTGTAGGGATTTATTGTATCAGGAGGGAACTACATCACTTGTACGAATTCGAATCTCCAATCGGGACGCGTTTCCTATCAGGTGCGCAGTGGTATCTGATTTGCAATTAGCAATCGACTTCTTAGTCACACTGCGATGCGTCGGGGACACGCTCAAACATATCACGTTCCTTTACGAAAACAAGGATGATTCTCCTTTGCAGGGATTTTATTATTTTATTTCTTTTAGAATGAACAGGAGGGAACGTTTCTATATTTCTAAACTCTTAGGTTATACATTCAAGTAGATACTAACACGAAGAAGAGTTGTAACTTCACTCCTAAAAAGACAAAGGAAACAAACATACGAAAAAGCAAACACAACAACAATAACAACTACAGCGCCGTAGCTAGTATGAGGCCAACCGAGGCACTCGCCTCGGTAAAATTTTGACGAATTTCGCCGATCATTTTTATTTTACATAAGCGATCATCGGATATTTTTAACGCATCATAATATTACAAAGAATTCAGCAATTCAGTCAATATACTATGAAAAAATTACCATATCATCGATCTCAAGGGGCTACGTACGTTAACTCCAATTTTTTTTGAACAAATACTGATCAAAACCATTGGCGAGGTTAACGGTCACCCAGATTATGTAGCTTGTTTCTGATTATTGCTTTTTAAATTCCACTTAAATTAGCTCGAAAAAAAGTTACCGAAACGCCCAGAAAACGCTGCAAATCGCATTTCCGAGAGACTAAAGTTCAAAATTTCTCGGGGGGGGGGGCATGCCCCCGAACCCCCCTAGCAACTCCCGCCTGCCTCGGTTAGCCGTTTGGTCTGGCTACGGCACTGAACTAGTAATAGTTGACACTACAACTGCCCCCGTTTTGTATATTGTCGGTCAATAGTATTCTTGCTGGTTGTGTAGCTCTTTGAAATATACCGATTCATAATGAAGATTTTCACACATATTCCATACAATAGGTGAGATAAATACAGGAAACGCAAGGTTCCATGCACAGTTTCAGGTCGATTTACACAGCTTTGATCAAAACATTCTCAGTTTCGAGAATAGTTTATTCTAAACCATAAGAAAAGATTTAATTAGAAGTTGAATTTTTCGCTATTTCTCTTTCCCTTTTTACATTCAGTTCATTTTATTTGCTGGAAAGCAAGCCTTAGAAATTAAAAGGACGTTTGATCGATTCACGCTAGCGCATTCTAGTCTTATTTGAAATTTTATAACGGAAGGACATCTGTGAGCAGGGAATAAGTCAGCACAGAATTTGATTGTCGACGAATTTCTGTAAATGTCCATTAATCTGCTAGTGATAGCCGTTGTTCACTCGTCTTGCTTGTTTGGGGCTGAGTCTTATTCCGGTCAAAGAGAGAGAAAAAGTGTCTGGCAAGGTTTCCAATATAAAGCAAAGATTTGTGAACTCGTGTCTGGCAAACTGTCCAAGTGTTTATATATCTACACAGCTAAACGCACCTTATAACCTCCCCTGCGCTTAACGAGTGTCTTTTGGTCCATAACTTTCAAAATTAAACAACTGCTCCACAGAAAGTCTCTGCGTAACGCAAAAGAGTAACGCAAAAGAGTATCTGCACAATAAATGTCACAAAATCTACCTGAGCGGTCCCTTCCGGATTTTCTGTCTTTACGTCATCCTAACCATTTCGTACTTGCGGGCGCAAACAATAGAAACGTCATCATTACCTACCGATTCCTCGCGGCCCCAGTTCGAGCAAATCGAGATTTTTTCTAGTATACTCACTGTATATTTGAACTGTAAGTACTGTCCTTAATATACGCGCGAGTTACTAAGGTGCCTCCTCGGGATTTCGCAGTCTGGGCGAAATCCCTGCGGGGGCAACAACAAAAAATTAATGAAAAAATACAGATTTAGACGAATAACGACGGACCCACAATTATAAAACACTTGAAAAGGAATGAGTGTGAAATGCTTAGATGTTTGGAAAGCATCTAGTGAATTGGCATCGGGAAAATGATTTTTCTTACGCAAAATCACTATACGCATATGTAGAGAAGTTAAAAAGATGTTATAATACCAAAGCTGCTAAATAATAACATTGAAAACAATATAGAAGCATAAAGTTTGGCGGTCATAGCATGAACGGTCATTAAAGTTATATCCTTTAATGTTAGGGAGCGCCCCAAAAGCCCCCTCCCCTGTGTGAACAAGGGTAATGCATTAAAATACACTCCCATATTATTCTCCCGCTTTTAACTCCCGGAGAAAACCATGGAATGCTGCCTAATTTTCGCTTGGTTAAGGATAAATATTCGTTTTCTGACGTAAAATAAAATAAATTAACGAATTTCAATGCAGTTTTATACAGTTTCAGTCAAGCTCGGCTTATTACAAATTATTAACCACAACGTCATGTTATTACAATTTAATTACGATAACTTGGTTATTAAAATTTTAATTTACGACGAATGTTATTACAATTTACGACAGGTATTACAACGACATTATTACAATAAAATTTACGACAAAAAAACTCGGCGGGCCAGCATCGACAGATAAATGTGTGTAATTTCTAGTGGCGTAGCATAAGAAGCAAGACCAGCAAAGCCTGGTCTGATATAAGGTTAAAAAAACTACTGTGACGTAGCAGTTTTCATGCAAGCAGAGGTCAGCCCGTCGTTCTTGCAGATCTGAAAAGACGACACTGTATTTAATCTGAGGAATTACTACAGGAAGACTTGTGGTCTTGAAAACAGTTTCCTTAGCAATTCATGGTCATTCATGCACGTCCTTATCACGCGCGTGCGAGGCAAAAAAGTTTGTCACACATTCCCACTTTTACAGTATTCCTACTAAGTGGTTTGATGTGTAACCGGGTGGGATAATAAATAGCTTATCTTTCAGGCTTAGTGAAAATACAGCAGAACTCCTAAAAGTACTCAGCGATACAACAGAATTATTAATTTTATTATATAATTAAGATAGCTAGATTTTAATATTTGTGTAGATGCTAGTATAGAACAGGGAAAACTACTTTTGGAGCGGTTGTTTTGCCCTATGGCTTATAGAACAAGGAATATTACATGCAAAATTTGGCGATGCAGTTGTATTGGACAAGCTGTGGATTGCTCAGAAAGAAACTGATCAATTAGTATCAATACCGTGAATTACTCAAAGTTTTTTCAGGTGATCGTGATGTTCGAATATGGCTTTTTTGAGTTTCTCGGTTTAAATGTCTAAGTACTGTTTCACTGCACCAGGACATAACCTATCCCTGCAATATTCTTATCGCCGTTGTCTGCTTTGAAAGGAGCCAAATTCCCACAATAGTTACCAAGTTTTCCACTATTACCAAATCCTATTACGGAGTCACAATTACCGCAGTTGTCTTCATTGTTACCCAGAATACCGATTCTTGTTCTGTAGGAGCTGCCGCCACTAGGCTTTACATTAAACCCTTCCTTATTACAGTTGGGCTGCAAGGAGGCCTCAGGACCAATCAGCGACTTCCACGTTTCACGACTCAGTGAGGTGTTGCGGTATTGCCCATCAGCGATCAGAGAGTACAAGGAGTTCGCCTGCTTGTTGATGACAATAAACCTGACCGGCTGCTGACCGATCTTCATGCCGAGGCAGATCTTAGAGAAGGATGTGCCCCAGTAGGAGGGAAGTTTGGTCTCCTGTGAGTCGAACCCAGTCTTCCCTCCGTCAAGGTTTAAGGCTCTTCTGCTCTTCCAGATGTTATCATCGTAACGAAAAGTGCTCTGTGAAAGAATTTTAACTCCTTAGTGAATTGACTAATATAAAAACTGATATAATACTGGGTTGGAGGTTATCCATTCCCCCTTTAATTCTCTTGAAACCATGTATGCACCTATTCCAATTACATGTAAGTTTGCTTCAGTGAAAACTGATGCATATTGCATGATCCATGTTTCACACCCTGCGATATATTGTGGTAAACGTTTACTTAGCCCTTTTGTAAGCAGGAAGTTTAATACATTACTTTTCTAATTACTTATTGCTTTACTTATCGATCAAGAATTCAGGAGTAAGTCCTTTCTTGTGGAAATAAAATAGAATAGTACAGAACATGGCTGACAATACTCTGTTGTTATGGCAACTTCCATGTTGAAGTTTACGTCACGAACAACATAAAATGTCCCCAGCTAAATTTTAGGTAAAATCGCAAGGTCTGGTGGCCATAATGACCCTAAACGGTTTTGAAGTCCCCCCCACCCCCCACCCATCCAATGTACGTTGATGAGTTCAAAATAATCAATAAATTTGCAAAACAAGGAAGGAATGTTTTGGAACTTAAAAGGGAATGGACGTTAGACTGATCCGAGACAAATACTCAGCAGATGTTACCTTGTTGCCGTCCATCTTCATTACCGGTGTCCATCCTCCATCTCCACATCCAAAATCTCTCAAATTGAAATGACAAAGAATAGAAATTGGTTCGGAGTCAAGGACAAGAGTAACCAAGTGAGTCCCGTTCAACCTACAAATAAAATTCAAGCAGGACTCTTGTTTCTTTCCGCTATTATTTTCATTTTGAACTGCCAGAGAAAACTATGTGTAAATACTGTCTACGAAAAATTTAAGCAATAGAAAAACAAACAAAACAAAGCACAATTATTGGACCGGGCCTTCGTATAATATGAAAAAAAAAACAGTTTTTTAACACAAAGACGTCCCGCATTTTAAGGTATTCAAGCTGGCTGCAGAGAGGAGAGCAGATCAAGTCTCATTTTGTAATTGCTGTATATTGTATTGATGAGAATTTGAACGCAATTAAGGGTTAACATATGAGTTGCACACCAATTATTTTTCCACTATTTCTGACGTGTATTGGAGGTTACAATGCAGAACTTTGTGCTATATTAGGGATGATTTGCTGACCTTCCACCCAAGTGTATTACTGAACTTAGCCTGAGAGTAAGCTCTCCTATTTGGGCGAGCGAAGCGAGTCGAAGCGCCGAGGAAAGAAGTGATCGTTGCAAGCTCTCCTTTCTCTCCCCGCCCCACGCTTTCGTTTCTCCTCTCGCGTGCCTCTCGCCCGTCTACTTTTCATGATATTCCCCAAATGGAGAGCTTGCTCGAAGGCTTCTCTGAACTAAGAATTACTAACTGTGATATTAATAAAGGGCTCGGGCTCCTTGTGCGAAAAATAAACTCAAAGAATTCCATTCATTTAAGTTTCATATTAAGCCAGAAAAGAAGACGTTTTCGTCTTTTTTCAGTAGTAGATCTACAGACAAGGAAAATCACATTCTATAACTTTTTCGGGGGGGGGTGGGGGATAATAGTTGAATTACTAACTTCTCTGAGAGATGATCATAAACCACTTGGCATGACTTTGCAACTGAAAATAATAATAAAAATAACATATTGTAAATACAGCCGAGAGCTGTCGACGCGCGTGTTAGATATTACTAACAACAATTGTTCTCCTTAGCGAGGGGGGGGGACTCCGCATATGAAGGTGGTACGGATCCTCGTGGTCTCTCTCTCTTAGGGGTGTAAATTTCGAATTTTGGTCTCACTTAGGGTGTTCTGGGCAAAACGCCATCATATTTAGCCGTGAAGGTCTCGTTTAGGGTTGCACGCGAAAAAATATAAAAACATATATTTGATATACCAGCTTTCGGCCATGAGAGTATTTAGCGTATGATGTATATATTGTTTAATGATATTTTGCAGTTATAGTTCTTTTAAACATTTTCAAGTTTGCTATTTCACAAAGATACAAGAAGCGAGTATGGTAGACTGACGATTTATGACGATGCTTTTAAAAACTACTTATGGGTAAAAGTGTTTGATGATAATGTCTTTGCCATTATTAAAAGTCTTTTTTTTTTTCATTTGTCTGTGTTTCAACATGATCTCTTTTAGGGGTCATAAAAAGCTTGGGCCACGCCCAGATCGGTCTCTTTTAGGGGTTTAATTCAAAATTTCCGACGAGCATCCGTACCAACTTCATATGTGGAGTCCCCCCTCCCCGGGTTCTTCTCCAAATCAAATTGGGGATATTATATCTGCGTCACTCAAATAGCTGCAAATTTCACAAGGTTCGTTTTCAAAAAATCATCTACACATGTACAATATGAAATTTCTGAAAGGTGTATGATGCCTTATAACAAACTGGCATTCATACTCATGCCCAGCACACTTAAGAAGAAAAATTAAGGAAACAGGAAAAATTTTATGACAACTCTTAACTTACGAAAGACGCACAAACAAATTACATATATTTTTGTTTTTGGCCAAAATGACACAAAATAACAGATTTTGTGTCTCGGAAAACACCACCACCAACAACAAACAAAACAACAAAGACAGCAACAACGCCTACAAAGAAAGAACAGAGAGAGGAAAAAGGAAACCAACGTAGTACGACTAGCTGCCTTGTTTTCTTAGTTGCCTTATTCTTTATCAAATGAATCTAGACAGACTGATCAGAAATCTTATACACGGCAATCGGCAATTCATTTAAACCCCCGGGAGGGGGGGGGGGAATTCCCATATAAAAGTGACGCGGATGCTCGACGGAAAATTAAAATTAAACCCGGGAGACCAATGTGAATGAGGCTTAAGCTTAATAGAGAGTAGAAGTGTGACGTCACGTTACCATGGCCCCATTTCTGGATGACAACAAAACCAGCGACGACGGCGACGGCAAGGAAAACGGCAAAAAATAATATGTTTGTGTTAGCAAACAACAACTTTGCACGTGCCATGCACGTTATTTTGTACATTTCTTTGCCGTCGTTACACCACTACGACATGAAACGTCCCAATTTCACAAGCCTGCTTTATGGCGGTAGATCAACACAACACAAAAATTGTCGCTTTCCTTTTCTAAACTTAGATAACTATAGACTGATATGGTCCCAAAGAAAAGATTTGCCAAATTAAATGAAATTGAATAAGATCGGTGAAGTTTGAAATAGTGCGAATAGACTTTTACATGTAAGTGACTTAATCGGTTTGTTGTCACCCCAAAATTTTGCTACCATGGCAACGTGACGTAACGACTTCTCCTCTCTATTACTAACCCCTAAAGGAGACTATAGATCGTTTTCACTGTCACGCAACAAAAAAATAAATTGAAAACTGTCCAGTGAAAGAAGCCAAGAAAATGATATGTTATAAAAGACTAATTTTTAAACAATTTGTCCAAGTCTCAGGTCTTTTTGGCCCACAGTTTCTGAGTTATTTGCTGAAACGTTTCAAATCTTTGTAGAGCTTTTGCTACCAGTTTTGGCAAATATGGCCGCCGAAAATCAACAAAAACATCAGGAGTTCACTTGTTCTAAAAAGCTCATTCTTTTCACTCCTAGCCTTCGTGCGCATAAACATATCTTCTAATACTTGAAATGGTTATACCTGAAAATCAAGAGGAGACTTTTTTCAACGAGACAGCATTCCTATTTTGGTGTCAAAAAACTTTTTTTCGAAATGAAAATATGGGACTGAAAACTTGTACAAAGATTAACTTTTTGATTATCTTCAACCTAGTGTTAATAAGAATTCGTAAACCTCGCTATTTTGACTTTTCGCTATTGATGACGTCACTGTGAAAACCATCTATACTAAAACTTTTTGAAAATTTCTTAATGCACACCAGGTGATTTTCCGTCCCGAACTTCCCAAGTGAGACCAAAATCTACAATTTCCACGACGAAACGACGAGCATCCCTGTCACTTTTATATGGGCCCCCGGATTTAAACTAAGTTGGGAGGTCTTCACGACCACCACATGCAGCTTCTCACTTGTTGTAAACTTCCTTCTTCTAAGTTAGTTAACTTGTTCTTATAAAACAGATTATTGAATGTAAAAATGAATAAGGTGAATAAATAAATAAACATAAGACAATTAAATGATGATACTTATCAAGACATTTACGAGAGACATTTACGACGAGACGACGAGCATCCCTGTCACTTTTATACGGGAGACCCCCCGGATTTTAACAAAGGTGGGAGGTCTTCACGATCAGTACAGCTTCTGTTTGTAGAATCACATCATGTGTGTATTGTAAAGTTCTTCTTCTTCTTTTCTTTCTTCTAAGTTAGTTAACTTGTTCTTATAAAAGAGATTATTGAATATAAAAATGAATAAGGTAAATAAATAAATAACCATAAGAAAATTAAATGATGATACTTATCAAGACATTTAATCAAAATTTTAATCAATACTCCTAAGGAATTAATTTATTCAGAGCCATTACCTGTTTCGCAAAATTCTCCAACAAAACCTTCTTTGCAATGGCATTCCATGGAATTGTAATTTTTATAATTCGCTACACAGGTGCCTCCGTTTTGACACGGTGATGACATGCATGGAGACTGCAAATAACAATGGAAACGAACCTTTGATCGATAGAAAAATGTTGGTAAAAGCCATTTTTGTAAAGTTACAGGGACAGTTCGTCTTGAGAAGAAGCTTAGCCTGTGATACAGCTGGCTCTCAATTCACTTTCTTTCGCTAAGAAGTTTCGCGAGAGAACGTCTTTGTCGAAAATATCTCTTATAGCCTGGACCGGAGCGATTGACCGGGCGGCGGCTGTATTGCATTTTAATTAAGACACTATGAAGGTCACAGTTACCAAGACTCTTTAAAATTACAGCCCTTTATGATGTTTCACTTTTATGTTTCTAATTGAACAAGACAACCATTTTTTCCGTTGTCCTTTAAATTTTCACCTATCATAACTTTTCACATTATAGAATTAAAATGAGGATGACTGTAGTATTGAAAAGGCTTAAAGACAACACTCAGTGACAACTCTCTCTCTCTCCCGGATGTAAGTAAGGGCCAAAACCGCTGTACACTACATTCCCTAGATCTCTCTTTCTCGCACAAAAACTTTCATGATCTTACATATATACCGCAGCAAAACAAATAAAAAAGCCAATTACGGTCTTATTTGAAACAAACAAGGTAAACAAACTTTTTCTTATTCAAAGTCCTTAACTTATAAACTCTGTAACAGTGTCTCTTGTCACATAAGGAAACATGCAGGTGACTAGGTCATAGTCAAGTTCAATACAGAACATAGTCGCCCAGAGCCTTTGGTCGACTTCTAACTCTTTCCGACCTCTTCACAGTGGGAGGCTGTTCACTCTGGACAGGGAGCCTGGTGGTCCTGAATTGGCTGCAAGTGGTTTCATTGTAACAAAGACTAGCTTCAAAACGCGTTTTTCGGCAAAATCTCTAGGAGCGAATGGGTTAATAGACAGGTCAATCCCGACCAGAAGTGTCCTCAGCCGTGGGTTGTAAGAGAATTCAGAAAGATTAGCATCATTATTGTTACTATTATTTTGTTGTTTTGATGTGGGGGGGGGGGGGGGGGGGAGGTTATTAATATATAACTATCCTGGTATGAGACGTAAACATGGACTAAAGAATTTTTCCCACCATTTGGAAAAAGTGATGAAAACTCTTGTTCCTTTTATACTCCTTAGGGTTGCTGTGCTTTTCTGACGATAACAACTCACACCACAACTTTCCATCTGCTCCTTTGGAAGCGGCCAGGTTGATTGACAAACAGGAAGGATTGCGGAGACATTTAAAGGCGCAGTCAAGGCTGTCGTACACTGTGAATGTTGCAACTTGAGGCACGCTTAAATAATGGTACTCTTCTTTTATATAGACATCTTGACGGAGTTCTGGGAGATACAAATTGCTGATCATGAATTCTTCAGGGAGAGCGATTTTGAAATATAATTTGCTATAATAAATGTGAGGGAACAACACTTGACGAGTGAGTGGTGACTGATTCACTTCGACTAATAAATAAAAAACAAACAAGCAAACAAAACAAAAAAGAGAGAGAGAGAAGAAGTCAGGTTTAGACACTGTCTAGTGGAAAGACCAAGTTCGATATCTTAAAAATTATACTTGGCTCTTAGGATATAAGGGGAAGAAAACAAAACAAATGATCTAGAAGATCACCAATGAATAACGCATTTCATAATATATCGAAATTAGTGTCTCTAAGCCATAAGTTCGACAAGGAGCAAAGTTTAATTTGGATCAACTCTCGTAACATGGTTCAGTTACATTTTAATTTTCCGCCTTGTGTCATGATGACGAACATGCAATACGCGAAATTTCATTTCGGAAAAGCCTTACCTTCCTTTTCTGGCTCAGAGTAAACGATTGTGATGACCTCTTTTCACGTACGTGTTAAGAGCCAAACCTAATCATCGGCTTACAAACGATCAAATAAAGTAATAGTTCTTTTTGAAAACTTTTTTTTTACGTAATGTAAATATCAAGGAAAACTAACCATTCAGTTGAGCATAAAGATCATCAGGTATCCATGAGATCGACAAAAGAAGAATCAAGAAAATTAGAAGATTGTGCATGTAGATGGCGAGGTGATTTTTTAACAAAATTTGCCCAAATTCTTGAATTTGACGCTTTCTGTAAGACGTTGATACCGTTTCGTGATAATGCGATTGCTGGGTTTAATGTCAAAATTTTTGTCATTTATACATTTCCTACTCTCAGTTCAAGACATACATTAAATGTATGTCACGTACACTGAGGAACATTTCTGAAGAACTGTTTACTTTACTAAACCAACATCTCTTTAAGCTCATTCCACCTAAACTCGAAATGCGACGTCACTTTGAGTTTACTCCTCCAAAATGTCACTCAGGCTACAGGCTGCAGTTTATAACAAAAAATAGCTATCATTGTACCCTGACAAAAAGAATGTGAAGAGAAAAACAAAATTTATGGGGATCATGTAAAAAGCTTACAATTTTTTTCTATGAATTACCAGTGTCTCTCCACACTCACAATACTGAGTTCCAAGTGCTTGCTCGTCAATTAACCAATCACGAACAAGTAAAAAGTAATATACCAGCAAAGTAAAAACATCTGACCATATATGTTTTTTAAATATTGTTCAGACAGTCTGAACCTAAAAGAAAAAGCAACAATTACTAAGTGGCATTTTCTTTTCTGGCTTAGGGTAAACTACGATTGTGATGATCTCTAGATCTTTTCTCGTACGTGTAAAGAGCCTCGCCTAAATCTTACAAACGATCAACGGTAATTAGAGAGTTCTTTTTTAAAACCTGTCAGTTTGTTTTACTTAATGTAAATAAAGGAAAACTAATCTTTCAGCTGAGCATAAAGACCATCAGGTATCCATGAGAGCAGCAACAGAACAATCAAGAAAATTAGAAGATTAAGCATCAGTACGGCGAGGCGTTGTTTTTTTTTACAAAATTTGCTCAAATGCTTGAATTTGACGCTTTCTAAGACGTTGCTACCGTTTCGTGATAATGCGATCACTGGGTTTAATGCCAAAATTTTTGTGAATTATACATTTCCTACTCTCAGTTCAAGCCTATAAACACATTTCAATAAATTAAATGTATGTCATGTACACTCATGAACCTTTCTGTGGAGCTGTTTTTCTGTTAGCTCATTCCGCCTAAGCTCGAAATGCGACGTCACTTTGAGTTTTACTCCTCCAAAATGTCACTCAGACTACAGGCTGCAGTTTATATCAAAAATAGCTATCATTGTTCTTTGACAAAAAGATTGTGGAGAGAAAAACAAAATTTATGGGGATCATGAAAAAAGCTTACCATTTTGCTCCATGAATTGCCAGTGTCTCTCCACACAAAACAATACTGAGTTCCAAGTGCTTGCTCGTCAATTAACCAATCACGAACAAGTAAAACGTAAATATACCAGCCAAGGTAAAAACATCTGAACATATGTTTTTTAAATATTGTTCAGACAGTCTGAACCTAAAAGAAAAAGCTACAATCACCAGGGGGCATTTATAAAAGATATGTATGATTAAAAGAAAAGGCTTTTTCTCTGGCCTTACGACTTACTCCAGTTCTGATGAACCACTTCTCAGCTCGAATGCGTAATTTATGCTCGTAATGTGACCTAAATAACTAACAGTTCAAGTACTTTTGGATCTCTTTAGACAACACATGGTAATATTACTGGAAGAAAGTCAATTGCAAAAGAAAGAGGAATTCAAGGCTCGCAAGTTTTTAGTTTTAATCACCGTACTTCCTCGAATAAGAGCCGTCCTTCCATTAATCCCCTCCCATCGAATAATCGCCGAGCTTTACAGCCGTTTGCATGGTTGGAGCAAGTTGACCCCCACCTACGGTGGCCTGTAAAATTTCTCGAATTTGTAGAGCTGTTTAAGAAATCACAATTTCAATTTTTTTTGGCAACTCAGCTGATTCTGAGGCGTTCTTCCGGCCGTGTTGACCGAGTTTCGCTAACTTACCCATTTAAACAGTGGAAAAGAGTCTGTTGCGGCGTGCCTTCTTACTCGTTCGAACAAAAACAGTCTTGTGAGAAGCTATTTTATTTAAAAAAAACGTTCACGAGTGAAGCATTAATTTATCAATAGGCCTCTTTAATTTAGAAGCCTCTTTGTAACTATCATGTAACAGTTCATTTTTTATCTCAGGCAATTTCTATTTTTCTTTTGTTTCAATTTCATTAGCATACATTACCATACCCAAAAACAAAAGAAAAACCAAAATTATTACCTGAGATAAAAAATTAACTACAACATATAAATACATCCTTATTCATGCATGCCGTTGAGTATATAATTATTCACGTCAATCGTTGAAAATAAATCCGCGTAAACTATTTCGTTGACAATCTTTGTTGCGGGTGACTTGAGTCTGTTCAATTAGCTCCCTGAGCAGCCCAGAAAGAACCTGTTTCTTATATCGTTTTTGCCAACAGTATTTTTAGTATTCGTACGTGTCACTAAATGCGTTCGTGTGTAGGCTCTTCAAATGCGCATGTAATTATTAAACAACTCGGACGTGTGCAGAACGCAGACCAGCTGCTCGGGTTGTTTCTCTTACTCTCAAGGCCTGTCATATTGCACCTCTCAGCTGCGAATCACTACAGCGTTTGATGTTCTCCGAGCAGAAGTTGCTCTAAGCCTCTGTTTCAAAGCGAGGCTAAGTGCAAAGCCATTGACATGAGTTTTTTTTAATTCCCATCCAAATAAAACTCGTTTTCACAAGAAAGGTTCTCTCTCTTTGAAAGTATGGATCTCGGAAATGGCCCATTTAAGTGTATACAGGGTATATCAGACTTACACTGAACACATGATCACGTTGTATACTAATAGCTAAATTCCTATACAAGATCTCAGGTCTTCAGAAAACAATTTGCTCGCGGTTTCCGGTTTACACCTCAATTAAGGACGCCATGCCACCACGGAGGAATATATAACCAAAACCTTATCTTTTTAGACGTGCCCTTAACCCTGGGACGCTCACGCAAATTCATACCCCCACTGTGGTAAAAGAGGTGGGGGGGGGGGGTTGATGTAGCCACCCCCACACTTCCGTTGTACGTCCGAGCTATACGGCTGAGACACATTGATAAAGTTTTCTATTCTATTCTATATTCTATTCTAACGCGTCAAATCTAGTACAGCTGCCCGTTATGTGCTCTTGTCTACAACCAGCGTAAGTATAATTCTTGCTGTTCCCAACAGATACAACAACAAAAACAACATAAGCTTTATTTGCATGACTATAATTATGTATACGTGGTTAGAGTATTGCAAAAGCTTTAACATAAAAAAAAAACACAAACAAACAAGCAAACAAACAAATCATAACAATGATAATGCAATGCAATGATTACTATAGTCAATCAAGTGTCATCAGCATGATTTGATAACAAAATATTACGTAAATCATTACATAATGAGACAAATTTCAACAAATGTGAATTTACGGAAAAATTCTGTGAATTCATTAATTTAATTATTAATTCTGTGTAAGATAGCTGATTAAAGTCGACAAAATTTTACATGTACAGCATTTGTTGTGCTCTGTAAATGGTCCACACTTGAAAAATGGATGGCTTCTTATCATGTAAACACCTTGACAGATTCCCTGACAGTGGGTACCCGGAGTTCTAAATTATAGTGTTGAATGTCTTGAAATTAAACAAAAAATCTGTTCAAAGGATTTTAATTTTAGAGCTTTTTTTTTCTTTCTTTTTTTGACGTAATATAATTAAAGGAACACTAACCTTTCATTTGAACGTAGGGAGGATTTGGGCACCAACGATGGATACCAGGAAGAGAAAAGATTAAGTAACTACAAGTAAGAGGAGTGCATGCGCATGTGAACTGAAGAAATTTTTCGCCAAATTTGTCGAAAGGAGTAAAATTAATTTGAAGCTCTTCCGCCTCGTCTTGAAAATGGGTCCAACACTCGAGTTTTTGTTATATGATTTCCTACTCTCATTTTCATGTTACAATAAGTAATGAACTTTGAAAACCTGGCAGGCTAACTAACAAGTTTTCAAAAGCATAATTTCAATCCATTTCAATCTTCTTCCAGTTTGCCTATCCTTGCCTCTTTTGTAATTGCTGTGTATTATTTGTACCTTCTTTTTATTTTTTAGCCATAAATATTGTTCAACTGTTTTACTCATGCATTAATTGGTGGCGTTCTCACAGTTTGAATTCTGATTAATTTCGTGAAACAGCTCCTTTACTTAGTTACTTGAACCTTCTGCTAGTAAGCAATTATAACGTCTTTCAGTTAGTGAATGATGTAACCACTGGGCAATGTTTTTCAGTCTTAATACCTTCATTCTAGATCCACCTAAACAAATTGCTGTTTATTCTGTATTTGTTTTCAATTTCGTTGTAA